GTATTGTTTTCCTGGTTTCTACTTTGTTGATTTCAGCCCTCAATTTGATTATTTCCTGGCGTCTACTCCTCCTGGGGGAGTGTGCTTCTTTGTGTTCTAGAGCTTTTAGCTGTGATGTTAATTCTCTGGTATAACTGTTTTCCTGTTTCTTCATGTGAGCACTTAGTGCTATGAACTTCCCCCATAGCACTGCTTTCAAAGTGTCCCATAGGTTTGGGTATGTTGTGTCTTCATTCTCATTGAATTCGAGGAAGTCTTTAATTTCTTTTTTTATTTCCTCTTTGACCCAGGGATGGTGCAGTTGAACATTATTCAATTTCCATGAGTTTGTAGGTTTTCTGCAATTTGTGTTGTTGTTGAATTCTAATTTTAAAGCATGGTGGTCTGATAAGATGCATGGAGTTATTCCAATTTTTTTGTAGCTGCTGAGGTTTGATATGTTGCCAAGTATGTGGTCGATTTTTGAGAAGGTTCCATGTGGTGGTGAGAAGAAGGTATATTCTTTTTTATGTGGATGAAATGTTCTATAGATATCTGTTAATCCCAGTTGGGTCATTACTTCTATTAGACCCTTTGCTTCTTTGTTGAGTTTCTGTCTGGTATTCTTGTCTAGTGGTGAGAGTGGTGTGTTGAAATCTCCCACTATAACTGTGTGGGGCTTTAGATGAGATTTACGTTCTAATAATGTTTCTTTAACGAATGTGGATGCCTTTGTATTGGGGGCATAGATGTTCAGGATAGACACTTCATCTTGGTGGGTTTCACCTGTGATGAGTATGTAATGACCTCCTTCATCTCTTTTGATTGATTTTATTTTAAAGTCTAGTTTGTTAGATATTAGGATTGCTACCCCTGCTTGTTTCTTGGGTCCATTTGATTGAAAAAATTTTTCCCAACCTTTAACTCTCAAGTAATGTCTGTCTTTGAGGGTGAGGTGTGTTTCTTGTATGCAGCAGAAGGAATGGTTCTGTCTTCGAATCCATTCTGCTAGTCTGTGTCTTTTTATGGGTGAGTTAAGGCCGTTAATATTGAGGGATATTAATGACCATTGATTGCTCATCCTTCTTCGATTTGCGATGGTTGTTGTTGGTGGAATTATGGGTGGAATTTCGCCCCTTTGTTCTTTTGGCTGTTGGTAGAGAGGGATTCTCTAATGCTTATGTTTTTCTGGTTGTAGTTAGCTTCCTTGGGTTGGAGTTTTCCTTCCAAAATTTTCTGTAGGGCTGGGTTAGTGGACACATATTGGTTGAATCTAGTTTTGTCATGGAATATCTTGTTTTCTCCGTCTATAGTGATTGAGAGCTTTGCCGGGTATAGTAGTCTGGGCTGGCATCCATGGTCTCTTAGTGTAGGTAGAATATCTATCCAGGACCTTCTGGCTTTCAGAGTTTCCATGGAGAAATCAGGTGTAATTCTGATAGGTCTGCCTTTATATGTTACTTGACCTTTTTCCTTAGCTGCTCTTAATATTCTTTCTTTATTCTGTATGTTTGGGGTCTTGATTATTATGTGGCGAGGGGATTTTTTTGTGGTCCACTCTATTTGGTGTTCTGTAGGCTTCTTGTACCTTCATTGGCATGTCTTTCTTAAGGTTGGGAAAGTTTTCTTCTATGATTTTGTTGAATATGCCTTCTGCCCCTTTCAGGTGGATTTCTTCTCCTTCTTCTATACCTATTATTCTTAGGTTTAGTCTTTTCATGGTGTCCCATAATTCCTGGATGTTTTGTGTTAAGGATTTGTTGGATTTAAGGTTTTCTTTGGTTGATAAATCCATTTCTCCTAATGTATCTTCAACACTTGAGATTCTCTCTTCCATCTCTTCTATTCTGTTGGTAATGCTTGTATTGGTAGTGCCTGACTGTTTGTCCAGCTTTTCTATTTTCTGCCTTTCTTCAGATTGTGTTTTTTTAGTGTCTCTATTTCAGTTTTCAACCCTTGCAGCGTTTGCATTGCTTCTTGCAATTTTCTGTTTATCTGTTCGTCCGTTTGTTGCCTTTTATGAATTTTTTGGTTTGTTCTTTCTTCCATTTCTTGCATTTTTTGGTTTGCTTTTTGTTCCATTTCTTGGATTTTGTGCTTTGTTTCTTCTTCCATTTCCTGCCTTTTTTGGTTTGTTTCTTCCTCCATTTTTTTCATTTTTTGCTTTGTTTTTTCTACCATTTCTTGCATTTTTTGCTTTGTTTCTTCTTCCATTTCCTGCCTTATTTGGTATGTTTCTTCTTCTAATTCTTGCATTTTTTGCTTTGCTTTTTCTTCCATTTCTTGCATTTTTTGCTTCATTTCTTCTTCCATTTCGTGCCTTTTTTGGTTTGTTTTTTCTTCCAATTCTTGCATTTTTTGGTTTGTTTTTTCTTCCATTTCTTGCATTTTTTGGTTTGTTTTTTCTTCCATTTCTTTGAGGGATTTTCCAATATCCTCTTTTAGGGCCTCTATCATTTTCATGAAAGTGCTTTTAAGGTCGTTCTCTTCTGCTTCCTTCGCGTTGGAATATTGGGGTCTTGCTGGTGTGGAGTCTCTAGAATCTGGCGGTGTCATATTTGTTTTTCTGTTGCTGACTGTGTTTTTGTATTGTCTCTTTCCCATCTCTTCTTTTAGTGGGTGCAGAAAGAGCCCCTTCCTGGTCTGGGGACCAGAGTTCCCTTTTGGTGGGTGCTAGTAAGTCCAGTAATCTGGTGGTTCTTCTATGCCTTGTCCAAATGCTGGTCCGTGGGTAGAGAAGAAGAACAGGAATCTGGGGCGCTTAGCCTCCTACCTGGTCCCCTGGACCCTATGCTGGGTCCTGTTGTACCTGATCCGGAACTGCTACTCCCCTGGTCTCCCTGGCTCCTGTAGTTTCCTGGTCTCTTTGGTGGGAGAGAAGATCTGGAGTCTGGGGTGCTTGGCTCCCGCCGGGATTGGGAGCTCTGTGCAGTTCCCAGGCGATCTGCAGGCTCTGGAACACAGGCCAGGAAGCTGGCCTGTTTACCTGATGCTCCCGCCGGGATTGGGAACTCTGTCCAGTTCCCAGGCGATCTGCAGGCTCTGGAACACAGGCCGGGAAGCTGGCCTGTTTACCTGATGATGCCCACTGAATGTATTCTTACACCGCCGTTTGTTCATCTCTTCTTCCAGGCACCTGTGCCGGTATACTCTGCTGGAGTTTCAGGGGAAGCCTGACCAAAGACAGGGTATTCAGCTTCCTGTTTGCCTGTTGCTAGGGACACCATCAGCGGCATGGGGGTCCACCAGATGTGGGGGCAGGGCTCAGCTGCCTTGCTTTTGGGGGAGGGGAGGGGAATGGGCATAGGGTGTGCCCTGGGGTTTAGTCTGGATTTGGGGGCAGTTCATGGGGAGGCTGGCCAATCACCTGTTTTCCCAAATGGTATGTTTGTTTCTGTGCCTATGTAGTCTACTGGGGTTGTGTGGAAGGGCTGGCCATGGGAAGGATGTTCAGGTGCATGGTGTTGGGTGGCAGAGTGGGTCATGGAGGGACAGAGCCCACTGGGCCGCAGTGGTGGGGGCACAGCCTGGAGCTTGTTCTCTCACTTGTTTGCTGCCTGGTGGAGACTGCACCAAAGCACTGGAGATCTCCCAGAGGTGGGGCAGGGCTCAGCTCTTCACTTCTGCCTTTCCTACGCCACACTGCAACACTTTCAAGACTTTTTGTTATCCTTATGTAATATTTCTCCTAAGTTCAAATTTTAAAAAAACCAGACAGCATTATAATATAAGGTAAGGTTGTAGAGCTCAGGAAATAAAGACATTGAAAAGTAGATACTGTAGCAGAAGGCATTTGCTGTAGTCATGAGATACTACATTGAGGTTCTGCCTCAATCCTAAGTCAATACTTCAATGCTGGGGATTTTGGAGGCCAAGTACTGATGTTGCTCTAGAAAGAGTTGCTTATCCATGGTCTCATGCCTTTCTCTGTAGTGGTTCATTCTCAAAACTGTTGATTTATCATACCCTTACTAGGCAAATTCAGCTTGCTTAGTTAGAAATAAGAACAAAGAGTAAATGGGATAGGAGACAGCCATAATCACCAACCATGCAGACCCACACAATGATGGCAAGAGAATGGATACCATCCCTTCCCAGCCCAATCTTCCTCCATTCTGGGCAGAATGGGCAAGGCAGCAGCAGGGAACCATGAAGAGTGAGTGCTTGCTTCCATTGTGGCCAAGGGGGAGTAGGTGAATGAGCAGACGTGTAACACCACCAAATCTTCCTACTATGGATTATCTCAATTTTCCACTGTCCACGTCCTACTCAATGATTCCTTTCTCTGCTCTTAGAAAAAAATTATCCTAAAATTCACTCTGGAATACCTTTCTCTCAGGTTGGAGAGAGAGACAAATTATGTTATTAAAAATAAACAAAACTGTCTTGTTTTTATTTTCCCCCATGCTGAGTGGAATGTGGGTTTAGGCATTTTCTTGTTGTTGCACAAACCAAGTTGTCTTTCTACCCATTCTATAGCTTCAAACAGATTCCACTGTGCAGAACTTTCTGAAACTGCCCAGACTTAGAGCTCTTGGACTCCACTTCATCCTTCATTACAATTTTATAAGATAGTTTTATTTTCCCTTTATAGCACAGTGTTGCTCATTTATCTGTTCTAATAATCTTCCTAATCACCCCTCACCCACCCATGTAAAGAATTCCCCTTCTTCTGTCACCCAACCTCTTATAAGTCTGTCCTCTGGGACTCAGGGACAGACACCCTTATCTGCTTCTTAGTCATCATCTGCTATCATTGTTTCTAATATTATAACTATTAATATCTTCACTTAAATGTGATACAACAGAGGCATAGTGAGTCTGTGGTTTTCCTACTTGGCAGGGATATGGAAGAGATTGGAACTCAGCCAGTTTTCTTCCTGAAGTCTTCATATTATCTAAGAACCAGTCCTGCTGTCCCGAAGCCCAAAATAGTCTGTGAATGTTGGGTGGAGGAGAGGAGTTCTGTGAAGTCAGAGCAAGGTATAGATTCCTCAGCTATGTTCCTTCTGTCCCTTCAGGGAAGCTTCTACGTCCCCTCAGAGAACTGCATACAACATGCCTACAAATGGCACCGGGACCTCTGTCTGCTGCTCCTCCATGCCTATCGGGGCCTCCGACTCTACTTTCTGGTCATCATGAGAGACATTCCTGAGCTGCCCACCATAGAGCTGGGTAAGGGGTTAGAAACAAGAGGCATCTTTCCAGGAGCTGGCCTTCCACATTGGAGTGTGAATGGTGAAAAGATGCTGTGCTTTTGTAAAGGCCATGGTGAAAATTCCTTTGGTCCTTTAAGCTTTTTTGGGCTCTACCTCATTGTACCAAGAGTGACTCTTTGGAAGGACAAATGCAATAAAATAAAATATGCCCTAAGACACTCACTCATTCATTTATGTATCAAACATTTCTTGAACACCTACCGCATATCCTGTCCAATAATGTTAAGTTGCTTTGGTTAGCAATAATCTTGATATTATACAAAGTGACACACAAAGTGAAAGTAGCTCGTAAAGGTGATTATATTTGAAAAAAGAATGTGCTAAAATCTAAACTGGGTTAGCAATACACCAGGGCCACCATGGCTCCTGTCTTTCATCCCTGGAATTGGTGGTTACTGACTCTCACCTCAATGGCAGGAGCTCAACCTCATAATCTAAAGTAATCTAATTAAGCAAAGGGGAAGGGAAGGGGAGGGGGCAAGTGCAGGTTTTTGAGTCCTTCAGTCCTTTTCAGACTGCCAACTACCATTGATTCACACACACACACACACTTTCTTAAATAATATCCGAGGTTAAAGCCTTTCTTAATTAAGATGCAATTATAGAATTGCATTTTATAAATATGTGTAACAGCCTTACAAAAGAATATTATATTATAGAAAACAATTGTGTATAGATATATAGGCATTCATATCTAATATATTTGTGTGTATCTGACTATCCCCTGGTCTATCCTGTGAAGGGTTCTAGAAACCTGCAATGACAGGTTGTTTAGGTGACAAATAGATTTTTTCCAAACTAAGTATCAAGGATATTTGTGAGCCTAAATCCCTCTTGAGTGATAAATAAGAGAAGTCATGCATGGAAAGTAAGATGACTACTGAAAGCCACACCGCACAGCAATATGTAGCTGTGACAGAAGCCCTGAGGTCCAGCTCTGACTGCCTGGGGTAGGGTGCTTCAGTCCCGTCGCCTGTCTTTACAGCATGCGATATGCTGTGGTTCTGCTCTAAAGTCCTTTGAATCAGAGGCTCAACCCAGAGTCTAGAATTCAAGAATAATATATATTTCAATGTCAGTATCCCATGGAGTGCTTATGTCTTTGTCTGTTCCTCTGGATATCAACTTCTGTGAGAACTATATCATCTGGTGTTGTCTGTGGTCTGTGTATTATAAGCAGGTTGCATGACAATGCTATATTTCCAAGTTTCTCTTTACTATCAGGATTGTTGAGGGCTGGATCCCCCTTCGATTCCTTAGGTTCTCTCTCTAGTCTGCAAAGCAAAGGAGTGTTTGTGGTGCTCATATTGGTTTTCAGAGCCTCTTTCCATCTAGTTCAATCAGCCATGATACCTGGCTAAGCCAGTGTCAGGGGCTTTAAATCAAACACTCTTTAACTTGGATATTTCCAGAAGTCAATCGTGTGCAGACTGTAAAGACGGATACAAAGGACCCAGACTGTGAGTCTTTAGTAGAGCACTTGCTTTGCATATGTTAAACCTTAGATTTGACCTCAAGTTCCACACAACAAATCAAAAGACAATAGAGAATCAGCTAGTTACATGCCTCAAAAGAAAATGGATTTTATTCAGCAGTACTTAGCCATAGTTCACCCATCAGATGGGAAGGTCAGGAGGACACAGAGGTGCTAAGGGATTTCTCAAGTTGCTGTGGACAGTACAACTGTATGGAGATGATTTGCTTTGTCATTGGGGTGCTAGGAGAGAGTTCAAACACGGTCAAAACTCTGACCATTAAATCACAAATAGCTGGAGGCCAGTGGTTCAGGTTGACCAGCTGGTGCATTGCATGCCACACTGGGGATGGCTCGATGGTTATGATGCTCATTAGTGTCATGGTCCCTGGAACCTGAGGTCTCCCAGATCTGCCACTTTACTTCCTAGAGCTTCTGACATTTTAGCTTCAAGATGGAAACACAAATCCATATTCTCTGCTTCAAAATATATATTTGTGGGACTCTGTGTGTGTGTGTGTGTGTGTGTGTGTGTGTGTGTGCGCGCATCTGGAAAAGCATAAATAAATATAGAGTTATTTAAGGCACACAAAGTGGTAGACACACTAAGGGGTCAATTAAACTTATAGTTCCATTAATTCCATTAAGTTGTCCACTATGGGTTTCCTCTTGCACTCAGTCTATGATGTCAAATGAGGTTGATTCTCTTCAAAGTTTAATTAAGAGAGTCCCCTGGAGTTGCCTTTGTCTCTCTATAACTTTACTATTTAGAGCATGAAATTTAGGCCTTTTCCTTTAGTTAGCAAGTACAGCATTGAAATGAAGTCTGTTTAATTGTGTGGTCTTCCTTTTTCCTTCCCAGAGGCCCTCGCTGTTGAAGAAACACTCTCTCAACTGTGCTCAGAGTTACAGGTAATTACCCTGCTGACCCTGACTCTGAACAGAGGGATATACTTGTAGTTCTGGGACAAGCTAGTTTTGTCTGCCACATAGCATGCCAGTCACTTAAGCCACAACTTTTCCCAATGAGAAAAGTGATTTAACAGGTACCAGTGTGTGGGGATGGTTTCAAACCTACTTCCCTGAGGAAAGTCCTGAAAGGCTTTTGCGGCATAAGCAAATAGGGTATTTGAGGCCGTGTTGTGAAAAATGATTGGCAGTGAGGAAAACCCATCATTTTTTGAGCATGTGTAAGGAATGTCATGGTTGTTCACAGGCATCAGACTCAGAAATGGCAGCCTTAGCACTGTATGTGGGTGGAGTCTGCAATACTCAAGTGAAGAGGTTGATGGCTTCAACCCACTTAAGCAAGACAAAGCTATCTCCAAGTCCCTAAAAGCATAATCATCTCAAATAGGTCAGGGCACCATCTGGAGTGAAGCTAGTCCATGACTTCTATAATTAGTGAAGCAAGCGAGAACCAAACTACAACCTGGGAACCAAGAAGACTTATTCATGTTTTCCCTAGGTTTCAAAAGAAAGACCATTTTATTCTTGGCTCTTAGGTTTTAGCTGGGAAAGGACAATGACTTGAGAAACTTGCAACAGGAAAAAAACCAGTAATTTCATATTGGGGTCTTGGTTCCCAATTTGTAAAGCAAGCAAGAACTGTGTCCTTAGAGAGTGGGTGCAGAATGAATGTGCATCAGTTCTATTGCCTGTTGTGATCTACAATCCCTAGAGGACTTGCTTCTATAGAGTGGGGCAACCACACTTCATTAAGCTGGGTTAGGACCACTAGGAATTTAATATTGAATGAAGTTAGTTGACTCAGTGAGTGATGGAATGAATACATTGTTGGAAGCTGGCCTCAAAACAGACCTTTGCAGCACAGTGCTGACAAATTGTTTATTCTTTATGAATCATGGTTTCCCTATCTATGAGGCTGGGGAGGTTGCTCAGAAGATAAGGTGTTTGCAGCCCAAGCATAAAGACCACACTTCAGATCTCTGTCATATGAAGGAATTGGTGATTGCCTGTAATATGGTATCCCAGGGGCAATCAGATTAGCTGAGCTCATCACAATTGTCATGCTCAGGGTGCAGCAAGGGAGCCTGCTTAAATGAATAAAGTGAGAGCCACCGAGAAGGATACCCAGTGTAAACTTTGGGTTTCCATAAGCATAAACATGCGTGGTCACCTGTTACTCATGCAAACTTATACACATGCAAACTTATACACATGCAAACACATAAACACCACAATGTGGGTTCTTGGAAGGCAGTGTGGTCAGTCAAGCCCCCTCCTTCTCTATGGCCTTTTCATGACTGTCTCCTTAGGAACTATGGCACCTGTTGACCAAGGGAACTTGGATTCATCTCAGCACCCATTTTAAAGTTTCCATTACTTGTGAGCACCTAGGCCAGCACAAGGGACTTAGTCATCCCTTCCCCAGGAGCACAAGGTCGGGGAAGGAGTCCATTTCCTTTGTGGCTTTCACTAATGAACAGCTCACAAATGAAATAGTATCTGGACAGAGGTATTGTCCATGATGGTGGGACACCAGGTAGGGTGTCAGTAATTCTTTTCAGGAGGAAGCAAGTTCTTAGTGGGCTCTAATGAAGAAGCTACCTTGAAATCAGGGATTGAGAAAATACCAAAGCCTTGTGTTTTTGCACGAGGGCAGTGATAGAGGTCTGAACTTGGAGATTCTTTGTTGCAGGACTACAGGAGGGAGCAGAAGTCTGAGCTCTGCAAGGAGGAGGTTGACTGAAGCACCAGGGAGGGACCTAAGATTGATCATCATTAATGATGATCATGGTGCCTGGTTGAATTCTCCAAGTCATTAGGAGTCATGAAGTAGGAGGATGGCATGCCCTTTGGGGCATGTGTTGAAGAATGAACTTCCAACATCGGCGCATGAGGAATTGTCTCATCTCCATCAATTCTTTGATTGTAACTGCATGTCCACCATGAAATTTAATTCTAACAGTGTCTACCTAGAGTCAAAATGAGATCCTACTGGCTAAAGGCCCACACTTATAGCACTGTCTCTCCTCCAGATGCAGTTTCTTTGACCAATCAGCTACCGAATAGACGTTTCATTCCTAACCTGTTCAAGTTAGATAATTTCATTTAGTGGCTTGAGAACATAGGAACCTGTCACGGAAATCAGTGCAAGGGGAAAAGAAGGAGTGTAGGATGCTTTATTAAAAAGAGAAGTCACTTACAGCAGAAGCGCTCTGTTGTCTCCGAGCTGTGGCCAGGGTCCAAGAGAGAGCACCAGGCAACCCTTTCTCTCTATTTATTCCCCTCTCCTTCATGTACCTGTAGCCACGCCCATTGGGGAGTGGCTAAAGCTGCAGGTATGCCTCTCCCTACAATTCCCCTTTTAGTCTAAAGAGAAGATTTGGACTTGATACAAAAACTCAAACATATACAGCATATGTACGTAGAAGATAAGCAAATTATAATCCACTTATATCCTACCCTAAGTATATCTATCCCATCTAAACCTATGCTTATTTGAAAGAGAAGACCAAATCTGAACACCTCCTTCCAATCCCAACCCTAAATAATTGAACACTAACCCTAACAGGTGTAAATTATCCTATATTATCAACAGTAGGGAAATGGGGCATAGTCTTCTCAAAGTTACTTCCTGCTGAATTGGGATGATGACAATCTCATTGGAACCTGTACGAAGAAAATGTTAGTGTAGTGAAAGTCTTAAGTGGATTAAGTTGTCTCTGTTTGGCAGGATATGGTTGATTGAAGTCCCTGACTGGAGTTCTGATGTTGATTGAAGCTCTTGTCTGAAGCTCTGGCCAGAGAGTAGAAGGTGCACCAATTTTCTAATCATTACCAGTCTACTAGGATGTTACAAAGGGCATGAGTTAACAGCTAGATGAAGGTTGCATAGATCGAAGGATGCATAGATCAAAGTCTGAAAAGGAGGCAAAGAGTGGAGCTTCTGTTTCATGGGTTGATCTATACCAACTTCAGGCAGGTGGGTACATTCACTATCCTGGAAGCTCTCCAGTCCCTGACCTTGAAGGTTTCTATGCACTAGAAGCAAATCTAGGACCTCAAGAAAATGATCACACAGCCCAACTTACTCAGTAAGGCAAAAAATTTCATTTCTACAGAAGAGTGCATATCCTGGACACATCAAGCAGGTGCATATCCACACCTGGGGCTGTCCTAATTTTATTCTTAATGCCACAAAGGGGTCCTCTTTCTCACTCGTTTGGTCTCACGCTCTTACACGGCTGGGCAAGTCAAACCTGGGTGCCGACAGACAAAGTCCTGAGAAGAGAATGCAACCGTGTACAGGTATTTTTATCTCAAGAAGTGCTGGCCCTGGAGGAATCTGAATTTCTGTCAAATGGCTTCTTTATAATTTTTAATGAAATTTGTCTTTGGTGGAAATCATGGTACTATTTTCCATGTATGGAAGCTGCAGAAGAGAGACATAATTGACTAGGTCCTAGGCATTGATGATTCACTCAATGCCCAATACTTGAGATCTGGGGATAATTTTCACTGCCTAACCAGGAAGAGAGAGAGAGAGAGAGAGAGAGAGAGAGAGAGAGAGAGAGAGAGAGAGAGAGAGAGAGAGAGAGAGAGTTGTTGTTGTTGTTGTTTTCTGGCAGCAACCTCTACCCTGTGGCTGGCTTGGGACCAGAAAAAGCTTGCTTCATGAGTTAGATAGAATTTAGCAAACAAAAGCCATACACTCTCATCTTTATGGAGTTTGTAGGGGATTAAGGCATTCCTTACCAGGAACTGAAGACTGAAATTCACCCTGTGATCTCCAGAAAGAAACTAAGATGAAAAGTGTGACTAGGGTTTTATCCATAGTTACAATGGCAAGGCTGCCAGAGCAACCTCCCCACAGCATTCAGGGACAGAAAGTGCTCACACATATTCATAATGACAAGTGGATACTAAGTGAGGCTTCCTTAATGTTTCTAAGCTACTTGCAGTCATTGGATGAGACTACCGAATTTGGAAAGGTTGCAATGGCAACCTCCACTTGATAGTAGTGATCTTTGTGGCCCTTGTCCCTGGAAAACCTTTGTCTTTGAAATTTTTGTCATTTCTGCTTACTGCAGTGATTTAATGAGAGGCCTGAAGGATAGAGCTGCCAATAACTTCATCAGACATATTTCCTAAGTGACCTGCTGCTCACCTCCTTCCCTGGCAGCAGAGATCCAGACTGTGAGGATGTTGTCTTGATTTCACTTTTTAAACTCTCTGACAGTCATGTAATTAATTTTATTCATTTTTAGCCCCTTCTCTGGCTGAAAGTTCCTGTTCTACTTCCAAGTCCTGTGTATATGTGTGTTTGTGTATGCATGTGTGTTTGTATGTGTTTTGGTATGTGTGCATGCACATACATGTGTATCCCACTGAATTCTGGAGTTTTTTGTTTTGTTTTTGCTTTTGCTTTGTTTTTCGAGACAGAGTTTCTCTGATTGTTTTGGAGCCTGTCTTGGAACTCGTTCAGTAGACCAGGCTGACCTTGAGCTCACAGAGACCCTCCTGCCTCTGCCTCCTTAGTGATGGAATTACTCCACCAACACCTGACTGAATTCTGTAGTTCTTTTGCCACTATGGGACTTACTTATTTTGTAATCACATTTTGTTGCTGAATTTTATTTTGTAAGAAATGATAAGAGGTGTTGGAATGCAAAGTATCAAGAGGAAGGAGTTGGGCCTTATTCTGCTTCTTAATTTGCTTAATGGATTGACCAGACTGAAGACTGAGTGGCAGAAATATTGCTGGGTACTTAGAAACCCTCCCAGACAGAGTCGGAATTTGCTTAGAGATGAAACAGTGCCACCTCCTGGCAAATGTTGAACAACAGTGAATGCATTTCTCTCAAGCCTTGGTATTGGCTGTTTTGTTTGTTTGTTTGTTTGGTTGGTTGGTTTTTGTTTTGTTTTTAAAGCCTTGCTATGTACAT